TCAGGAAAATGAGTTTCTGAAGAATACAAGACCATAAACTATACGTGGTTTATCCATTTAGAAAGTAATATTACCAAATTATACACTACAGATATTTGCTGGATAGTTTACTTCAAAATGAAATAAAACTATATTTGTTCTTAAAATGGAATTTAAAAAAGGAATCCCATATTTCAGTATCGTATAGGTTATTTTTTCTGACTTTTGACATCTTTGGACAACAACTCAGCAGCTTTCCTTAATGCTCCTGCAGCTATTCAATTGTAACTGGCATGACCATAATCTCTGGGGTTTTTTTCCAAAACAACAACAACGAATAAAACCAAAACAAAACAGATTAAAATGCTCCTTTTAGACACACAAATGGTATGAAAACGACCTATAAGAACAGGGCATTGGGGCAAAGTTAATTCTTTGAAAATTCTATTAGTCAACTTTTAAAATACACACAAAGAAAACAAAACGAAAGACTATTCTATTCTCTCTAATTTTTTTTACTCCCACCCTCCCACATTCAATAACTTTCCTATTTGTACCATGGCAACTTTGCTAGAAATCTAAATTTTAAAAGTGGTCATCTAAAAGGACTGAATTCAAATCCTAATTTAGGCACTTACTGTATGATCTTGGGCAAATACTTTTCTGAGCCTTAGTTACCACATCTTCAAATGCCTATTAAAAAATTACCTTAGAGAGTCATTTGAAGGATTAAAGAATGTACGGAAAGCACAAAGCATGTGCTCTATTACTAGAAGATATTATTTTGAAATGTTTAGCAATGATCGTATCAGTATTTCATTTTCCCCAAGATTTTTTTTTTTTTCCTAGACTGTTAAATCTCCTTATGGTCCTTTACTACTCCATCCCCTCCAAAAAGAAAATAAAACAAATGACAGAGGAGAGACAAACAGACATGCACATACACACTCTGATGGATGACAAGGGTCTCAAGTTTTCAGAAATTACACCTCCCCCAAATTTCTTTAAAGCAGTATTATTTTATGTATTTCCTTCTGAGCTGATGTCAGCTTTATGAATTACTTCTATGATATTCCTATTCTCCTCAATGAAAATGTCACCTGTATTTCAAAGGCCCATTTCAGCTCTCCTTCACAAAACCTTTTCGAATTTTCTTAATACCTTTTTTTCTAAATACCCATAGCATGTGATACCTCCAATGACATTCATATTAAGCATTATGTCGTCATTACTTGTGTACTTTTGCAGTTTTATTTCCCCAACTAAACTTTAAGTTTCTCAAATTGTTTCTGACATTGTACCTAAGAGGCAAGAAAATTCAATGCTGAATTATATAAAGAATATAAAATGAATCAGAAATAGATATAGACAGATGGATTTTAAATTGGGGTTATATTTGCTATACATTTTTGCCTTGCTTTTTGCTTTAACAAGATTTGAATAAATGCTTCCAATCAAATAACACTTTTCTTTGGTAACATAAATAAGAAAAGCAAAAATGTCTCTGACTCCATGAAATGTAGAACATATATTAACAAAAGAGGAATGTGAGGAAAATGATTAAGAGTCTACCTGGCTGAAAGATCCTAGTTATTAATGGTACATCACTAACAACTTAGAAGAAAATGAGCAGTATTTAGAGGGAGTTGATGCCATGTGGCATCATATGGCATAAGTTCATTATTAAATATTACAAAGAAATTTAATTTTTATTATTTAACATAGCAGATAGTACCATATCAAGAGGAAATGATACTTTAAACTGATAAATATTAATTGAAGTACTGGTCAAAACTAACACAACAAAATTTCAAAACAGAATTAAGAAAATGTTTCAATAATACGCAGAGGATAAAGTATCTAAGTAAAGTATTGATAATCTTTCCTCTGGAATTTGAAATGTGAAGAACTTGCAACCTGAAAGCAAAGTAATTGGGTGAGAAAATCAAGTATATAGCAAAAGATTAAGAGTACTGGAATTCTAGCCTTAGAGTAACCAATTCTAGAAGCTGTAATAAATGTGTATTATACAGACACCCGGGAACTTGTAAGAAATGCATATATGTAAACCCCACTCTACAACCAATGAAACACACTTTGGGGTGTGTTCCAGCAATTTTTGACAAGACTTCCAGGTCACAGATGCACACTAGAGAATCAACGATCCAGAATAAAGATATTTGATAGGATTAGGGTACTTGTGGCAACACAGTATCAGACATTTTAATTCTTCTCATTTATAGTACCCACTATTGAGTCCATCCTAACAAATCCAATCCTAACCCTGGTAAGCACAGAAGTTAACCCTGTTCCCACTCCCCCACTCCAACCTATACAGAAACACGGAACACGTGGAGGAAAACTGGGACAGAGTATACGACTAAATACCTTAATGAACATGTGTGTGGTTGGGCTGAGGGACACCAGAAGAGAAAGCAATTCAGAAATAATATTGAATACTGATGAGGTTTAGGGCTTAGTTTTGTCACTAACAATCCCACCCCTAACTTTCCCTCTGACCATTTCCTTATTTGTGGGGGATGAAGGGAGCTATGAAAATCTATTGTGTGACATGCAAAAAAGATTTCTAAGTCTGCAGTTTGTAAATTGGGGGCTCCCATGGCTGGGAGGCCTTTTGGGAAACAACTATGCAGCTTTCCTCTGGTGGCACCTGGAGCATTCCCTCCTGATTTAGATGCTGACAAACCCTACATTGCATGGCAGCTAAGATATACTTACTTAGGGGTACTTATACTTGTTCCAATCAGTAATACATTACCCCTTTACTTGCTCAGAAAGACTCTTAGATCAAGCTGTTAGGGAAGTAAGAAATATCTACTGAAAGCTGCACGAACTGGGTTAACTCTTAAGCATGTCTAGATTAAATGATAACAATATAATCTATAAGTAATCATTCTCTAAGATACCATTCGGGAAAAACATTAGTTAACTCTTTTAAACTTTTGATACATACTTTATTTCTTGATATGTCATCCCTTTGGCTGTTTTCAAGTTTCTTTGCAAGTTCTTCACATTCATATTAAGTTCTAAAGGAAAGATTATCAATACTTAGATACTGTACTTGATATACCAAATCACATTCATAAAGAAATCAGTTTTCTTCCTACTGCCCTACCTACCAGAAGTAGACAGATGAAAAAAAATTCCCATCTTCTAACTTAGGATGGAAATGAAAGCATTCTCACAATCAGCAACATCTACCAGAGTATCTCCAAACATTAATTATACTTTGATCCACTGGATTAAGTCTGCAAACAATTTGCCAAGAATCAGGTGGCCATTAGCCAAACTGTTCTCACTTTTCACATACAAAGAAGAAATGGATTTAAGTTAGGAAAGGTCATTAAGTTACATACTATATTAACTTTAATGACACTAAAAGGGACTAACCAGTGAAAGTAATAGCATCTTTCTCATTGAGGAAAAAGAAACCAAATATTTGCTCAGTAACAACTGAGCCAGAATAATGTAGGAATTTTGCATAGGCCCTTTACACCATTTAATCCTTACACTACCACCAGCACCCTGACCCTCCACAGTTTACAAATGAAGACAGTGGGGCTCAGAGAAGTTAAGGCATTTCTCCTAAGTTCATAAAACTACTAAGTAGCAGGACTAAGGCAAATCAAAACTGGTATGACTACTAACTCCATGCTGTCTCAGTGATGTAGGTTTAAATAGGAAAGATGAGGTACACAATAGCTTCCTATGCCTTGATTCTGTTTATTACTACTGAGTCAACTATGGGTGCTGGGACTATTCTACACAGAGTTCACCTCCTAATCTTACACTGATCTTTCCAGTTTCCAAATTTTTCACTTTATGCACTGCTTATTTTGGCACCCCATCATCCTTCATCTTAAAATGTTATGCTAAATGTATTCACATCCCATTTCTCCAAAGAAATCTGTAGGCTTCCAAAAGGTAGAAATGTCTTTTACACTTACATACGCATCAATAGAGTTTAGCACGGACTAAGGATTTGATGTCCTACTTATTTCCACATTCCCCAAAGCGTAGTATGTCACTATGGATGGTGGTTTGTTCACATTAGAATGAAGTGTGGTTTAAAGTAATACAGTAGAACTGTTCTACCAAGATTCTCCTTAGTATCTCTTTACTGATATTTACTTGTTAAATTTTCATCAATAATCTTATAATGAGACACAAAAAAAGCCTAAAATGAGAAAAATGGCGTCAGTATCTGATAAAACGGGATTTGGTGCACTAGTATTTAGCTAACTAATATCAGTGTCCTATACAACATCACGAAGTTTTATTTCCCTGTTTCTTGTGTGCAATGTTTTAAAGACCATGACTTGGACAACTAGGCTGTATGAACATAGTGTGCATTGCTTTCCTTCACCTCTTTAAAAGAAAAAGCTACGATAAAATGGAACCATTTTTATATGTAAGTAATCAAGTCAAAAATAGCATCCAAGACAGAAAAAGAACAAATCACGCATCATTACTGTCGAGGTGACTGCCTACTCCCCTGCGGCCACAGGTAACCTTTCTTCTGGAGTAAGTTCCAAGAAGGAAGCATCAACCCGTGAAGCAACCAACTGACCCCACAAAATGTCATTCTAAATGAGTAGCTGTTTTTACATCGTACGTGGGGTGGAAGGGAGACGAGGCACCAGCGCTGGAGGGTCGGGCACTAGTGTACACTACCATCACCGTGCTAAGCGCCGACCTGGGGAGACCGGGCGCCGAAGTCAAGATTCTAACCCAAGACAGGGTCCGGGAAAGGCTCCGCCGAGGAGAGAGGCGGCCTCCGACTCGCACCAGCCCGCGCCGTCACTGGCCCGCGCCCACCGACGCGCTCCCTCCCCCGGCTGCTCGCCTCACCTGCAAATCTCGCGCGCTCGGAGGCCGCGGCCCGGAAGACCTCCGCTCCTGCTCGCCGGGCTCAGAGCCGCCGCCCTCCGCCATCTTCCGCCGTCTAGCAGCGCCCACTGCGGACGCAGCTGCCGCGACTTCCGGGGCCGGTAGCCTGGCAACCGCTGGAAGGGCGGAGTCTCGCAAAGCGCGTGCGCGCCCCCGCTTTCCGAACCGGCGCCCCCATTTCCGGTGCTGGACCACCTGTCAACTTTCCCTTTCTCCCTTAAAGGAAGTTGGCTCGGGTAATTTCTCCGCTGGGAAACTTCTGTAAGTTTCGTGTTGCTCCTACTACACGCCTCAAGGCGCTGTAGGCCGCCCTAGCGGGCAGTCTAGACATGTAGATTCATTTAGCCCAACAATGAAAACATCCTGTGGATTTTTCATCTGATGAAAAATTGCAACCCTCACTTCTGGTCTTGGTCAGATTCTCTCATCTTTCCTATGAAGGACTGGTGGTACATCACCTCCACAATGTGAATTCGTATTGAAGGTGAAAAACACCGTAAAAAGTGCCTGGAATAATTTGCTGAAAGCAGAACTCTGCCAGGCGTGGTCGCCTATAATCACAGCAGTTTGTGAGGCCGAGGCGGGCTGATTACTTAAGGTCAGGAGTTAGAGACCAACCTGAACAATGTGGCGAAAACCCCGTCTCTACTAAAATTACAAAAATTAGCCGGGCGTGGTGGCGGGCGCCTGTAGTCCCACTTACTCGGGAGGCTGAGACAGGAGCATTGCATGAACCCAGGAATCGGAGGTTGCAGTGAGCGGTGGTGGCGCCATTGCACGTCAGCCTGTGTGTCTCAGACTCAGTCTCAAAAAATAAAAAGGCATTTGATAAACAGCAGGTGCAAGAAGAGCACTCTGACCTTCTTTTCTTCCTGAAAGCAGGAAAATAAACTACCATGTGATAGATGTCGTCCCTATACCAAGAGGAAAGATACTCATCACCAAAGAAGGGGAGTTGAGACTGAGAGAAATCTGTACATTGTTAAAGTAACTCGTATCTTCCTAGATACTCTTCCAAAATTGCCTCTCTTTGTTCAACTTAGTATAGGCCTGGACACTTATTTCGGTCTTTATTTTCTTGTGAGGACACCCACTTACGTGTAAAGTTTTATTAAATAAAATTTGTGTTTATTTAATACAAATTTTTTTTTTGAGACAGAGTCTCGCTCCATCGCCAAGCGCCAGGCTGGAGTGTAGTGGCGCGATCTCGGCTCACTACAACCTCCGCCTCCCGGGATCAAGCAATTCTCCTGCCCCAGCCTCCTGAGTATCTGGGACTACAGGCGTGTGCCACCACGCCCAGCTAATTTTTGTCTTGATCTCTTGACCTGTCCTTCTCAGCCTTCCAAAGTGCTGGGATTACAGGCGTGAGCCACCGTGCCTGGCCTAATACAAATTTTGTATGTAATGTTTTACTAAATACATGTAAAGTTTTATTAAATAAAATTTATATGTTTTTTTCCCTGTTAATCTGTTTTGTGTCTGTTTAATTCTTTGGACCCAGCTGAAGACTTTGAAAGAGTAAAGGAGAAATTTTTCTCCCCCCAACTGTGCATTCCCTGTGTAATTTCATTTATTTCTCTGCTGGGTAGTTATGATTACCTTGTTATACCGGGGGCAACCAGATGATAAAGTCTAACTTCATTCTGTAGTAAATGGCAGTGCTAGATACTAACCTGCACTTGTTTTTCTGATACTCTTTTTAACACAGGATTCTGTCCTAGAAATCTCTGGCTCTTTAACAAGAAATGCCTCATAGAGCCAAAGACATTTTAGCTAAGTGTTGAAGGAAAGTACGTCTAGTAGAAGTATTGGACCAGAAAGAATCTTGGAAAAGGCAAAGACACCAAGATTTGAAATACTACATTCATGTCAGCAAACTACTATATGGTTGCAGCTTAGAAATGACAAAAGTCGGTTATGGAATGGTGGGGAGCAGACGGATCTAGACTGGAGGCTTGAGACACATTCCGAACAATCTTGCCTCAGGTTGGGGATTGAATCCTCTGAGCCAGTGATTCTCTGACATTCTTGTACATTAGGATCGCTTCTTTTCTCCACTCTCCAGGAACTCAGGTTTATTAATTGGTATAGGGTGGGACTCAGGTTATCATATGTCTTAAGATGTTCACCAAGTGGATTTTGCTACTGGCCATGACAGTATACCTGGTATTGGACTTGTCCTCGCACTCGTAACAACTAAAAACTAATACACACACACACACACCTCAATAATTTACAGGTAGCACCATTGTTGTATATGTATACATAACAATGGTTTTAAGGCATTAAGCAACAGGCAGTACAGGTCTGTGATATCTGGGAGAAGGAAAACGAACAAGGTGACTATATTTGCCCAGGATCTTTTTTTTTTGAAACAGCGTTTTTTTCTGTTGCCCAGGCTGGAGTACAGTGGTGCAATTGTGGCTCACTGCAGCCCCAACCTGTCTGGTTCAAGCAATCCTTCCACCTCAGCCTCTTGAGTGGCTGTTGCCCTAGCTTTCTGCATGGAACTCTCATACACTGCTAGTGGGTCCTAGAATGGGACAGCCACTTTGGAAAATAGGTTGTCAGTTTCTTCAAATGTTAAATATTCCATTATCATACGAACCAGCAATTCTCCTAAATAGTGACCTACGAGGGATGAAAGTATATATTTATAAAATATTTCTACCCAAATGTTCATAGAAGCTTTATCCATAGTAGCCTCCAAACTGGAAACAATCTAAATGTCGATCAGCCAATGAATGGATACAGTTTTGATAATTCATACAATGAAATATTACTCAGTGGTAAAAAGGAAGAAATTATGGATTCACACATCTTGAATGAATCTCAAACATATTATCTTGGGTAAAAAAAAGCCAGGCGCAAAATAGTAAGTATTGTCTGATTCGATTTATATGAATTTTTAGAACAGGCAACCCCTTTAATGACTAAAAGCTGATGGTAGTTAGGGGCTGTCTTTTGGGGTAAGAATAAGCTTAGGGAATTGTAGGACATGTAGGAAGTTTTTGAGGTGACAGAATGTTTTATTGCTTGATTGTGGTGGTGGTTACACAGGTCTATATTAATACATTTGTTAAAAACATGCTGAATGCTACACTTAAAGTGCATGCATTTTATTACATGTAAATTATTCATTTATAAACTTGATTGAACAAAATCCTTGCTCAGCTGATTCTGTTGTGCAGCTATGTTTGAGAGCCACTGCTCTAAGGCAACTGGGCCCCATTAAAGGATTTGTGATTTACGAAGATCACAGACGCATCAATGTGTATGATGAGTCAAAGTTAGGAAATAGATTATTATAACAAGGAGAAGTAATTAGGACTCAAGTTTTATCAGTGGAAGTGAGAACAGAAAGAAGCAATACTTGGTAGAAATATTAAGATCAGAACCACTAGAAGTTGGAGTTTTCAATGTGGAACCCATTAAAGAAAGAGGAATAAAGAATGGCATCTGGGGATCTGGCTAGGTGCTTTGGTAAATGGTGCTACCTGTAAATTATTGAGTTGAAAGGGGGAAGCAAATTTCAAAGGAAATAAACAAGTTTGTTATGAACATTTTGAATTCAAAAATGTATGTTGAATACTGGTGAAAATGCATCATGAAGCAATTGCAAATGTGGGTCTAAAGATTAGAAGATTAGGCAACAATTTTGGTTTGGAGATGCAGATTTGGGTGTTGACTGCATGTAAGTGATACAGAGATACAGATTTGAGTGTTGACTGCATGTAAGTGATACAGAGTAGATTTGGGTGTTGACTGCATGTAAGTGATACAGAGTAGATGAGACTTCCCAGGAGCAGTGTGAAATGTGAGAAGCCACGAGGATTAAGAATGAGGATTGGCTGGGTGTGGTGGCTTATGCCAGTAATCCCAACACTTTGGGAGGCCAAGGCGGGTGGATCACGAGGTCAAGATATTGAGACCAGCCTGGCCAATATGGTGAAATCCTGTCTCTACTAAAATATAAAAAAATTACCCAGGCATGGTGGCACGTGCCTGTAGTCTCAGCTACTTGGGAGGCTGAGGCAGAGGACTCACCTGAACCCAGAAGGTGGAGGTTGCAGTGAGCCAAGATCATGCCACTGCACTTGAAACAGAGCAAGACTCTGTTTCAAAAAAAAACGAGGATTAAGGACACACAGAAACACCAACATTCAAGAACTCTTTGGAAAAAGGAAAGCTTTTAAGGTAGCCCTGAGAAATAGAGAGGTGAGAGGAACACAAGAGACTGAAAAACTGGTGATGAGGCAGTTTCGACAGGAAGAACAACGATGTCATTTACTACACATAATCAAGAAAGATTAGGACTAAAAAGTATGCACTGGATTAAAGGAAAAGGAAATACTGTCCTAAAAGTTACCATCAATTTCATACTTAGGAAAATCCATATTTGAATAGTTTCAGAGGGACAGATAGGACTGCAAAGGCTGCATGTTTAGTAAACTGAAGGTCAGTGGTGTGCAGAATTTACCGTGCACTGGCTTATGAGAGCCTACTGTTAAATTTTCAGGAATTTTGCAAGGCAGTTGTTAAACAAAGATTATTAAAAATTAAATGGTATAAATGTACCACTAAATTTTACTAAAAACCCCTGGAATAAATATTCAAAATGCATCATTTCCTAGTTATTTTAATACATTTTGCTATTATCTATGCTCCTGAGGAAATTGACATCTATTGGCTCTATATGGTGGAGATGCTAATGAACACCTTTTCCCAATGCCACATTTAGTGACAACATGTTAGTAGCTTGAAATCTACCATGGTGTAAGCATTCCTACCTCAGAAATTGATAAATTCCATAAGTAAAAGTTTGATTTCTTGTTTTGTTGATTGTCCACTGTAAATTTAAGGATCTGCTGGAGAAAATGTTTACAAGGCAGATAAGACTTAAAAGTGTGCTGTGCCTGCCACTGTTATACTGTGAATAGCAAAAGAAAAAAATTCCTCTAGTATTCTTCTAGTATTTGAATATTACTAGAGGAATATTTTGAATATTACTAGCTGATTCTGGAAGAAGTTGCTCACATCATTGAGTTACTATGGCTGTTTGTGTTTCACTTGCATCTTATGTGTATCTTGTTAATGTGAACCAAAATATCAACATGCAAGTGGTCCCCTTGAAGTCTCCTTTCTTTTGGCTTGTGATGAAAGTGATATATTTCCCCATTCTTCTTCAAAGAACTATGATCATATACCTCATTCTCCCTTCATTCTCTATTTTATATTCTCAAAGTGGGTGAGGAGGTTGAAGAATCATGACATTCACCATCTATGAAACATTCTCCAGGAGCATCTTTCTCACATCCATTTTGACCTAACATATATATTATTTCTTGGCATGCTTAAACTGTAAACTTAATGTTAAACATTTTATTTTACTTATTTTCTCCTTTCATTAGACTAAGCTCATGGAGGATATGGGCCAGGATTTCATCTCTAGTTCCTTAACATAGAACCTGAAATCATAATATGTACTTTTAATAACTATTTGCATGAGTAAATGAATGAATGAAGGAGGTAGGGTCCTGTATTGGTCCATTTTCACACTGCTATAAAGAGAAACCTGAAGGGACTTGCGGAGCAGATCCAAGATGGTGGTTTAGGAGCAACTCAGGATTGCAGCTCCCAGTGAAAGCGCAGAGGGTGAGTGGATACCACATTTCCAGATGGATATTTATTGCCCGCAGACCAGGAGATTCCCAGGCAGAGGAGCCCCACGGGTTGCCAGCACAGCTATTTTGGCCAGCGCAGCTATTTTGCTGGTGCCCCAGCGTGGCGGTTCTCCATACAAAATACACTGGTCTGGTTGCCCTTTGAAGCTGGCTATTGGAGCTCTGGGAACCCAGAGTTGCCCACTCATCTGATTAAATGGGGGACAGAAACAAGGAGCCAGGCCAGGGGATTCCTGGGCAGCACCATTGTTTCAGCCGGTGCACTGGGTCGCAGCACAGGAAACCACACAGATCCCAGCGCCTTTTCAACAGGCGACTGGAACAACTGGGAGAGAGTCAACCATTCAACTTAAGAACAAAAAGGCTCTGAGGCAGGGAGCCAGGTGATCAGGCTCGGTGGGTCTCAACCCCCCCAAAACCAAAAAAACAAAAAAACCCCAGCAATTAGAAATGCCCCGGGTTGAGTTTCATGGCAAGCACAGCTGAACCTGGGATGGTCCAGCTCTGTGGGGGAGGGGGCATCTGCCATTACAGAGGCACTCCACCCATAAGGAGGTAGTCCTCCATTGCTGAGGCAGCCTGCTGTTGCTGAGGCAACCCGCCACTACAGAGAAAGTCTGCAATTACAGAGGTGGGCCACCATTGCTGAGGCATTTCTACCCACACCCATATAAACAGGACTGCAGGGAAGTTCACATGGCAGTAGGGCAGAGCCCACAGCAGCTCAACAAAACCTCTGTAGGCAGACAGTGACTAGGCTGCCTCCTTGCTGGGCAGGGAAGC